TCATTGTGCACCTTCTGCATGCCAGGGACCGTGACGAGAGCTCTCTGTATGTCATTCCGTCTCTCCTCCCTGTGGCCTCTTTGCAGTGGGTGATGTTTACCTTTTTCTGATTCGGAGGCTGAGCCCTCCCTAAGGAAGACATGGCAGGGAGCCACGGGATCGGGATTCAGGTGAGCCCGGCTACCGCCCCTGGGCCTGGGCAGCTCCTCTCCTTGGTCATGACCATGACTACGCTGACAACCTGGGCACCTGTAAGGTTTTTATTTATTTATTTTTAGATTAATTAATTTATTTGAAAGGCAGAGTTACAGAGAGGAAGAGGCAGAGAGAGGGAGAGAGAGAGAGAGAGAGAGAGAGAGAGAGAGAGAGAGGTCTTCCATCCGCTGGTTCACTCCCTAGATGGCCGCAACGGCCGGAGCTGGGCTGATCTGAAGCCAGGAGCCAGGAGCTTCTAGGTCTCCCACATGGGTGTGGGGGCCCGAGGACTTGGGCTGCTTTCCCAGGCCATAGCAGAGAGCTGGATCAGAAGTGGAGCAGCCGGGACTGGAACCAGCACCCATATGGGATGCCGGCACTGCAGGTGGCGGCTTTACCCGCTACGCCACAGCGCTGGCCCCACCTGTAAGTTTTAAAACTGTACTCATGCTCCCCAGGTTAGAAACCCATGGCACTTTGGGGATGGCTTTTATGCACGTGTGTGTGTGTGTGTGTGTGCGTGTGCGAGAGAGAGAGAGAGAGAGAGAGAGAGAGAGAGAGAGAGAGGAGTTACTGGAGATCTCAGCACCTTCATGGTGGATCCAGGAAGACAGAGCTGCTGGGGCGGGGGCTCCTCACCTGGGACCACCGGCAGAGGGAACGCCTCGGGCCAGCAGTGCTGCAGAGCAGGCAGAGGCTCCTGGAGTCACTCTTGGTGTCACCATCTCAGACCCTTGTACAGGGCCACGGGTGTCAGGACTGCGGCAGGCAGGACATCTGTGGGGACTTTGACCCAGGCAGGTGATCTGGGCTGGAGGCAGGCAAATTCCTGGGGCCAGGAGCCACCATCAGGGCTTTCCCCTGGTACTGGGGATGGGGAGCCAGGCCTGACTCAGGGGGCCACGCTGGGATCCCTTTGCCCGCGTGCCAGCTGGCCAGGACCCCGCAGGCTGACTCCATGTCGGAGGGTCACTGTCCTCTTCCTTCCACACTGGCCAGGGCTCTATTCCACGCCATCCACACTTCCGGCTGCATGACAGGAGGGTGTGTGGGGGCCTGGGCAGAGGGGCTGGACATGCCGGGGTGGGGCAGGAGGTGTGGGACAGACGTGCCAGTGGCTGGCCGAGGTGGAGCCCAGAAGGCTGGGGCTTTGGTTCCAGGCAGGAGCAGGCAAGTCTCCCCCTGCACCGGGGCCCACATGGGTGGCCCAGGGGGACAAAGGTGATACAAGCAGGCGGGATGCCGCACCCATGTCAGGAGGCAGAGTTAGTTGCTCAGCGGATGAAGCACCGGGGATTCTGGGGGAGGGAGGCTGAAACCTTTCTGGACCGGGCAAAGGAGGGGATTTCTGGGGCTTTCCGGAGCCTGCAGACAGACTGGCCCCTGGGAAGACTAACCCAGCCTGAGGACTGCAAGGTGTCAGTTCCGGTTGTCACCCTCCTCCAGGTGGCACAGTGTGTCCTACGGACAAAGCAGGCTTGAATTCCACAAAGACCTGAGCCTTCCTCGCAGCTGGCAAGCACTTTGGCTGCTTAGCCCCATGCGACAGCCTTAGTTTTGTGCCCTATGCGACACACAGTCTGAGCAAGGGCACCCCAAGGCTCCTTCCGGCTGGAACAGGCTCCTGTCCCGGGGGCCAGCCCTACACAGTCCTGTGGGTCCTGTGGGATCTGAACGTATCCCCAGTCCCTCAGCCCCGGCCTCCTTCCTGGGTGCCCCTGGGTCGTGGGGTTTGGTTCCCTCCGCACCTCCTATAGGCGCTCTTGCTCGTCCGGTGTCTCCCTGCTTCCACCAGGCCGGTGGGCATCCGTCTCTGCGATCGTCCTGCCTACCCTTGAACTCACGTCCTCCAGGTTAAGGATGTGACAAAGTCGTGCCTACCCCTGTCACACCCAGCCCAGTGCAGCACACATGGCGCTGGGGACACGCACTCTGCAGGGATACGCTGGCTATCAGGGGAAGGGGGAACACCACGCAGCCAGGCGGCAGCGAATCGGGACTTGGGGTGAGGCTGCGCCTCGGCCTCCACCTGCAGCCTCAGTTTCCTTGTGGAAACAGCACCCCATCCCGGGCGCGATGCTGTGACAGGAGGCGCCTTGCAGTGTGGAAGGTGCCGGGAGCTGCGTCATCCACCCTGGCCTCCCTGGGGACCTTGGTGCCCACATCTGTCCATGTCTGCTGGGCTTGGTCGCTCAGGGCATGAACCCCCTGCCACCTCGGGTTCTCTGTGGCCACCTGAATTCATGTGTCCTCACGCACAAACTCCTCCAGCCCCCCCCCCATGAGATACCGACACATGATGCTCACGCATGACAGATCTGTGCAAACGTTCAAAAGAAAAAAGATCAATCGGCCAGGGCCCTGGCGTGTGCATTTACAGGGCTGGGAGGCCAGTGACAGCCTGAGCAACTGGACAGACCTGAGTCTTTCCTCCCACACCTCCTCCCTCCACCAGCAGACACCACGCAGACCTTGTCCTAATGAGTCTCCGTCGATGCTTTGTGGGCCGTCCCAGCACCGCCGTTCCCCAGCTGTGTGACCTCAGACAAGCCTCTTGACCTCTCTGAACACATATCACCATCCGTGCAGTGGGAATGATAATAACGTCTTTGGGGTTTTGGTAAATGAAATGGTATCTACGGAAAGTGCTTTATGCAGCCCCTGGCACGGTCAGCGCTCAGTGAATGCTGGCTGTTATGAGTGATCATAGCCATTCTTTTTAGGTTTTTGTGATTTATTTATTTATTTGAAAGGCAGAGTTCAAGAGTTCTGTCCACTGGTTCATTCCCCAAATGGCTGCAACAGCCGCAGCTGGGTCGGTCTGAAGCCAGGAGCCAGGAGCGTCTTCTAGGTCTCCCACTGGGGTGCAGGGGCCCGAGCACTTGGCCCATCTCCACTGCTCTCCCAGACACATCAGCATGGAGTTGGATGGGAAGTGGAGGAGCTGAGACTCCAGCCAGCGCCCATATGGGATGCCGACAATGTAGGTGGCGGCCTCACCCACTGCGCCACAGCGCCGGCCCCACAACAGCTATTCTGGGTGCTCCAGAAAGTAGGTTCCCTCACTACCTACTTAGCCAGGACACAGTCTTTCCTCATAATCTCATTAACCACTCTGGACCCATTATTATCTCATTCACCGCTGGGTTTGCACCTGTAAAAGCGCTCCCCAGCATTCTTTGAAGCCAGAGTGTCCCCAGGCAGGTGCCCCCTCGCCTCGTCTCCCCTGTATTTTGTGGGCGTCTCCTCCTGCGCGTGGTGACTCAGGCCTGGCCTTAGGCAGGGCACTTCCCGAGGGCACCTTTCCTGGAGCCAGTCTGCGCTGACATTTCGCTCATCTTCTTGAGCGTGTGTCGTTGGGGGCCATCTTCCGGCTTTCAATGCTCGCTCTCTGCATATGTGAACGAGGGATTTTCCTCTTCTGGCACAGTGTGCTTCTCCAGCAGCGATGTCTGTGGCACGGAGGGCTGACCAGCCGCTGGGATGCCTGCACCCTGGGTCAGAGAGCCTGGGTTTGAGTCCTGGATGCTCCACTTCTGATCCAGCTTCCTGCTAAATGCGCCCGGGAGGGCACCCACTGGGAGACCAGGTCGGAGCTCCTGGCTGCGGTGGCGCCCAGCCCTAGCTGCTGTAGGCATTTGGGGAGTGAACCAGTGGAGGGGCGATCTCTCTCTCTCTCTCCTCTTTCTCTGTCGCTCTGCCTTTCAAATAGATAAGGAAATAAATAAATCTCTAAGAAAGAAAACTAAACTGGGAAGCAGGAAGAACGGCAAACAAGAGCAGGAGACCCAGAGGGCAGGAGGCAGCCTGGAGCTCGGGTGGGGTCCACCAGAGCAGGAGCAGAGCCGAGGCGTCGAGGTGTTTTCTCCGTGGAGGCGGTGCGCGCAGCGCGGCGATGCGGGCAGGCTGTGCGCGTGGAGGCATGCCCCAACACCTCCCACCGCTGCCGGATCAAAACCGTCTGGGCAGCCGCTGCTAAGGATGCAGATTTGTGGGGATGCGGGGGGTGGGGTGGGGGGAGTCAAGGCCAGGGTCTGCAGAAGAGAGAGGTGGAGGCCGACCCTTCGGCCAGGCCGGCGGGGCGGGGGCTGGGGTCAGAGGAGGAGGGGACGTCCCTGAGCGGACCCGGGCCGTGGCGTGGACAAGTCCTCGGCCTCGCTTGGGACTTGGGGCGCTGTTTCTCAATCTTAAAATTGAGGGAGGGCGGACCCCGCGGAGGGAGTGGTCCTGCGGGCGCCGAGCTCCCAACAGGTGCGGCCCCCACCGCGAAGGGGCGGATGCGCGCGAACACAGGGGCTTTGCGGAGGAATCCGCCCGCGGGACCCGGCGCCGCTGAACTTGAATGCTGCGGGTGGCTGCGGGCCGCCGCGCCTGGGGACTGGCGACGGGGCCGCGGGGGAGAGGCAGCTCGCTCTTCGAACTTGCGTGGACCCTCCCTGGTAGAGCCGGGAAGTCCAGGTGCCGGGCTGGGCTGTCTCACTACGCGTGCTCAGCGCAGTGCGGGAGCCGGCGCGAGGAAACCCTCCCAGCGCTGCGGGGCAAATCCCACCTGGGAGGCGGGGCACGGGGCGCGGGAGGCCGCAGCGCCGCCCGCGCACCTGCGGGTGCCGCCCGTGTCGGCGCGTCGCGCTGCCAGTGTGCTTAATAACTCGTTTCAGGAGTGGAACCCCCCGCGCCCTTCCCTCCAGAAACCACTGCAAGTTAGTTGGCCTGTTTGTCGTTTTTTTTTTTTTTTTTTGCAAGTTTTATTATGACAACAGTTAATCAGAAAAATAGAAAAAGTTGTGCAAAGAAAAAGCATATACACACCCGATGTAACTTTTTCTAACACTTTCCACAGTTTCTCCTCCGTTTCTCTCTCCCCCTCTCCCTCTCCCCACATGTATGGTTTGTTTTGTTTTGGCTGAACAGCCTCCAAGCCGCGTGTAAGGCTGACCCCTGACCCCGTAGCATCTTCACCACCTTTCAAAATCTTAATGATTCCTAATTTTCTCTCTCTCTTTCTCTCTCTCTGTCCCTCCCTCCCTTCCTTTCTTCCTCCTTCCTTTTAGATTTATCTTTGAAAGGCAGAGTTCCAGAGAGAGAGAGAGAGAGAGAGAGAGAGGTGTTCTATCTGCTATCTACTGGTTCACTCCCTAGTTGACCACAAGGACCAGGACTGGGTCAGGTGGAAGCCGGGAGCCTGGAAAGCCATCAGGGTCTCCCTCGTGGGTGCCGGGGCCCAAGCACTTGGGCCGTCCTCCACTGCTTTCCCGGGTCCATTAGCAGGGAGCTGGATGGGAAGTGGAGCAGCCGGGGCTTCTGTGGCCTTGCATGGGAAGCTGGCGCTGCAGCTGGTGGCTTGATCTGCTGCGCCACAACCCAGGCTAGGATTTTTCAAAGCACGTTCTTCTTGTTGGACTGTTAGGTCTCTAAGTTCGTTTTAATCTAGAAGATGGCTCCCTGGGTGCAGCATTTTTAAAATGCCTTGAGTCTTTCGCGGTGCTCAGGCCTGCGGTCTTGAGGAAAGGGCTGCCCACAGCGTGTCTCGTGGCTCCGTCCTCTGTCCCCCCTGCTCCCCACAACTGACAGCCCATCAAAGCTGCCTTAGATTCCGATGAAACGTCTCTGGCCGAGAACTTCACAGGGAAGCTTGGGTCCTCCACGTTGCGCCATCTCCTGCCGCCCTGTCGTCACGCTGCTGAGGTAGGTTTTTAACGACCCAATTTCCTACACCTCTCCCCACGCGGTCCGGTCCAGCAGGTCTGGTGCTGGAGCCCAGATGTCTGGATGCTCTCAAACACCCCAAGGGGTCTGACTGCTGTAGTACACAGCACCCCTGACCCTGGCAGCCAGCAGCTCAGGGGACGGCCTCGGCCAAGGGCACAGCGTAAGGGAGCAGGTGAGGCAGTGGAGGTAGGTGAGGTGCTCAGGGACCTGGCCCTGGCGGTTGGCGCTGTCTGCTGGCATCTGGCCCCTGCAGGGAGGGGGATGGGCTGCCTCGGGCAGCTCCAGCCTCAGTGGTGAGATCTTGCACAGCTCTGCTCCCAGTGGCCAGCATGGGGCCTGGTCAGTGTCTGCCAGGCAGGTGGCAGCCTAGGGGCCGGGAGCTGCTCTAAGCGTGAGCTCCCAGCCCAGCAGCACAGCTTTCTGTGCACCTCAGTGGCTTCTTCTGAGATCCGAGCCAAGGGAGTCCAGGCCTTGGAGCCAGCAGCTGGGTGCAAAGGCCCAGAGAGCCCTTGGCAGCCTGCGGGATTGAGGGCAGGTGCGAAGAACGGCTGGGGTTCTCAGGTGGCGCTGTTCCGTGCAGGACACAGGCAGCTGGCGGAGCAGGTGCGTGGCTCAGGACAGACAGACGAGGGAAGAGCTCCTTCTTGGCACGTCCCACTTTCAGGAGCGAGGGGCAGTCAAAGGGATTCAACCCAGTGTGGTTAGGGCTCCCCCGAGGTTTGTACGCATGCGCGAGAGTCCAGTGTGAGAAGGAGGCGGAGCCAGCAGCATCCAGGCCTGGAAGCCAGCTCCCACGGCCTCTGAGAACCAGCCGGCCTGCCCTGGGCCCTCACTTCCCCGTCTGTAGGATGGGAGGCCGGCCAGCGGTGCACACAGGGGCTCAGAGAGTCTGTGGAGAAGTGGAGCTGAGAGTCGGACTCTGAACCCCTCATAGAACATGGGGGCCGTCAGGATCAAGGTCAGGGCGGAGGAGAGCGCTATGGGGCTAAAACGATGCAGACCTGGCTTTAGAAAGGCTTACATCAGAGTTTGGATGGGGGGGGGCCTGCGAGAAAGGGACAGCGGGGTGGGGCACCTCATCCCCACCACGGGCAGCAGCGCCCACACTGGGCAGGGGCCCTCGCTTCCTGTACCCACCCTGCACGCAGGGTGTGGGCTCCACGAAGCCCAGACCTCAGATCCGTGGGACCAAGGAGTCTTCGAGAAGGGTCAATGTGGGGGAGCGAGACACAGAGGCCCACTTGCACCCTCCCCCGACCAGTGGAGGGACGCTGGGCGAGTCACGTCTGCTCTCTGGGCCTCAGTTTCCCTGGAGGAACTAGACGAGGTGAGGCCCAGGGGTGCACACAGCTTTGACATTTGATGACCCGATCCTGTAATAGAGTAGCTAGCACAGTGGCCGTCAGCGAGCCGCATCCCGGGGCGCTCCTGTGCCCCGCCCAGCTGCCGCCAGCCAGTGAGACTGGCCAGAGACCCTCCCCTGGCGGAAGCATTCACTCCCCGGGCCTTTACTGAACGCCCGCCCAGCACCCAGTCATAGCATCCCAGAGACCCTTCTGGAATGTTCTGTGTCTAAGGACTGGACCCTTTTGGAGGGAGCCCAAGCAGGTCTTTGAGCCTCAGTGGGCCCCACGTGAGCCACACGGAGCAGGGCACCCCTCTTGCATGTCTGTAGGCGGAGGCTGGGATCGGCTCCACCCACCAGGCGTAAGGCCGCCGCAGCGCCCCTGTGAGGGCTGAGCTGCTTGGTGCAGCCGAGAAAACCCCTGGGCTGTTGGCGCACGGGCTCGGCTGGGGTCCCCTCCTGTCACCTGTGAACACTTGTCAGCCTGTGTTCTCGGTGCCTCTCTGGTCCCTTTGGGGGCTCTGAGGAGTGAGGGTCCCTCCTGGGCCTGCCCTCCCAGCGCTCTCTGGGCACTCAGCTGGGCCCGGGGGGTTCCCCGTGCCTGATGAGCCAGAGTGAGTCTTTGGAGTGGCTGCCTGGCCCACGGGAGACACCCACAGCGGTGGGTGCTTGGTGCCCGCTGGGCGTGCCCAGTCCTGAGCAGGCCAGGCAGGGCCAGCACAAGCCCCTTTCTCCTTCCCTCCCACCTTCCGCAGCCCCCAGGCCTTGGCGCCCCCCCACTCCCCACCCTCCTCCCACCCTGCCCCGTGCCCCCGCCTCAAGGCTGAAGGAGACAGTGCCTCTCCCCACCTCCTCCCTGCTCCATTCTGATCAGCTCCGCTTTCCTGTGAAATGGGGGGGTGGGGTGTGCACCCTTCATGTTCACAACACAACAAAAAACAGGTTTCAGCGTTTTACAGGTTTCAACATTTTTCAGGCCGCCTTGTCACATCTTATCAGATCAGCCGCAGCCGCAGGCCAGGCGCTCGGGAGCTGCTTGGGAGTGCAGAAGCTGGAACATTCCAGCAGCCGATGCTCGGCCCCGCCCTCCCCACCCCACCCTCCCTCTCCTCGTCTCCCCAGAGAAGCTCCCACGGGGCTCCCTGGGGTGGAGGCAGGGCCTGGCCTCTTCCCCTCCGAGGGGGGTGGGTGGGCAGGCGGACAGCCGGCCGGGGCGCCCTGGGCGTTCAGCTCCTGCCCACACCTCCGCTTCCTCTCGGCTGCTGGGGACGGTGGCGCTTCTGGGCGTCGGAGGCTGCTGGCAGCTGTGCCTCCCCTCTAGAAGAGACCCGCGCCGCGCCGTCGGGGAGCGGGGTGGTCGGCCTCACCCTCAGAATCTGGGAGCTGTCCCTGAGCCCTGTCCGAGGGCTTAAGGAGCGGGAAGAGGGTCAGCGCCCCGCCGGCCCGGCTTCACACTGTGTTGTTCTTCGTGGCTGTGGGTTTTTGTGCGGGTACTGCCTGGTTCACAGACCCCCACCTGCTCTCCTGCCCTACTCACGGGTGTGTTGGCGACCCTGGTTCAGAGTGACAGGTCTCCGAAGGCTGACGCAAGTCCAAAGGTCCAATTTGAACCCAGCGAACCCGAGGGGGCGGTCCCTGGGTTGAAGGGAGCCCCTGCCACTCTTTAGTGGGTGGGGAAGGATAGGGCTGGGGGGGGGGCTGTCTGTGTGGAGGCCATGGGGTGCCCACTGAAGGTCTGGGTGCATCCAGAGCTCCTCCCCCCCGGTGGGGAGGCCAAGGGGGCTGGGCAGAGTGCAGCATCAGTGTCCATGAATCCTGGCTGCGCACCTGCCTCACAACCTCGTTTGGAGCACTGGAGACGGAGGCAGGCCCCGGGCCCCACCAACCTGCCTCCCGGGGTGCTGGCCCTGCTGAAGGTTCTGTGTTGCTGAGGCCTTCCCGCCCCCTCTTGGCCCTCGCTGCCCCATGTGAGGCTTCTGGCAGGCACAGCCCCTCCTGGGCACCACAGGAGGGATGGAGCCTTAAACATCGTCCACCGCTAGTCTGGCCCAGCTTCCGCTGGGCTCCAGCTCCGTCCCTGCGCGCTGTCGGGACCCGCAGGCCTGCAGGACACCCTGGACTTTGTGCTTGCGCTGCAGTCTCGTCCATACCAGCCCCGCCTTCCTGGCCACCCTGGCCCACAACCCTGATTATGCTCCCCCACCTCTTGCTTCCCGTGTGGCACACAGCCTGTTCCTGGCTTTCTCTCAGCTCCGAAGGCCACTGCCCTGGGCGGGCCACACAGCCCGTCCTCTGCCTGCAGCTCTCACCTGGCACCAGTGGCAGTGGAGCCTCTGAGAACCCCTCATGTCAGTTGTCACCAGCTTCCACCTGCTGGCCCAGGGTTCCCTCCCCAGGGCCCACCCCTCGGCCCATATGGCCTGTAACTGACAGGTCAGGAAGCCAAGCCTAGCTCACGGGGCTCCCACCAGGTGGCCGTCTGCTACCTGGGGCCTGGGGCCGTTCCCTGTCCTGGGCAGCTGAGCAGCCAGAGGTGCCGTCTCATGCGGCTCTGGCCCCCCTCCCCCCGTGCCTGGTACTCTGGGGCTCGGCTGCATTCGCAGCCATCATGTGTTGAGTGAACCAGCAGGGAACAGGTTTGTTCTACAAGGGGGACTTGCACCTGCTCTCCTGGGACAGGCCCTCCTCTACCTCCTCCACTCCGGTGGCCCTCACCAGGCCACGTGGGGAGCCCTGGGGCCTCCGTGGGGTCAGTGGCTCCTGCGCTTGCCCTTCGTTGAGTCCAGCATCCCCTCCTTGCATACGCAGTAGACACAGGGGCGCAGACGCCCGTCATGCCTCTGCGGAGAACGAGCCGGTGACTGGTGGCTAGGCCCTGGGACAGCCCCACTGCGTGGTGAAGGGCATCACCAGCCCCTCCCCCTGGCCTGCCTGGAGCTCGGGAAGGGTGTGGACCGAGGGAGGGCCAGTGGACAGGGGAGGAAACATGGCCACTTGTGACCCTTGCCTTTGGTCCCTCCTCGCGCATTGTCACAAGCTCCCAGAGGGAGTGGCCACAGTCCAGGGCCCATGGCCTCCCACCCCAGGAGCCCTGACTGTCTCATCACTTGCAGGGCCTGGCCCCTTCCCTGCCCCCTTGGGCACGTGCACCCTTGGACTTGGGCTCCCCTCCTGACGCCCACCAGCCCCGACCGGCCTCTGGATCTAAAGGGAAGTATAGTCGTCTCGAGTCCCAAGGCCACTGCTTGCCTCTTACTTCTGGCTCCTTTCTCAAGCCTTCCTTCCCTTTCTGGAAGTTTCCATCTTGTCCCACGCCAGGGTGGAGCCCCTGGACCCTGGAGCAGGTTGGGCCTCTGTCCAGTACTGCCCAGGAGCCAGCAGGTGGAGCACCTAGCCCTGGGCTGCGGTGGGGTTTACAGAAAGCTAGTGGTAGCTGCTGTAGAGAGAGAGACACGGTGACCACAGGAGGGGGCTTCCACCCACCGTGAGGGAAGGCCTCACCCTGGGCTGCGGGCCTCGGGCCACCTTCCACGGCCCCACCCACAGGGGGACCACCTGGCCCCTCCCCTCCCCCGCGCTGTGCCCAGCTCCAGAGAAGCTTCTGAGAATGCGTTTGTCACCCGCGGTCAGGAGGGCGTGGGGGAGCGGATGGGGCTGGTGGCCGTCAGGGCCCTGGGCTCCTCTGCCCCCTTGCTGCCAGCTTTGCAGGGGGATGGCAGCATCCGGGGTGAGCGGCTTGGCAGGACGCCCGCATGGTGCCTCCTGCATGTCCGGTGAGTGACCGAGTGACTGCGCATCAGGCCAAGCCCAGGTTTCTTCGGTGACAGGTTTCACCTCTTCCTCGTGTTCATGGCACGGGGCCACCCGCAGCCCCTGGCCACAGAAGGCACAGCTGGGTGGCAGGAGGGGTCATGAGCTGTGTGAAAGGTGAAAGGCTGGCCTATTTCACCCAGAGAGGTCAATGTCAAAGTCCCCAGCTGGCACCTGCTGCCCAGCTGCCCGTGTCTGTCCTCAGCCCAGCTGGGCGGTGGGTGGCGGGGTGGAGGATGAGCTGTCCTCACGGGGAGGCGGGCAGGGCCAGGCCAGGCCAGGAGCTGGGTATTTATAGCCCCCGGCCCAGCTGGGAAGGCCTGGCAGGCTCCCCTGCCTGCCCCCTCACCAGCTGCCCGTGGCGGGCAGGACTCCCTCCAGGAGCAAGGCCAGCATCTCGGGTCCTAAACGGAGCGGCTGCCTCCGCGGAACCGAGGAGCCTTGTCCTGTGTGTGGGAGCGGCCTCCGGATGCTGGGTGTGGGGCGTGGCAAGGCTTCGGCCTGGAGCAGTCGGGTCTCTCTTCCTTCCTGTGAGACTGTGTGCCTGGCCCTTTGGAGACCGAGTGTGCTGCCAGGGCGGGGCGGGGGGTGGCCATGAGAGGGGCGTACGGCCCGATCCTGGGGGGCTCCCGCCAGCACGGCCAGGTGGCACTGGGCTGCAGCAGCAGAGCACTTGCGACAGGAGGTTCAGACGTGTTCCAGGGCGGAACGGAGAGGGAGGCAGGGTCCCTTCTGTCCAGCCCATGGGAATCTTTAGAATGGGGTGAGCCAGGCATCGGGCTGTGACTGCCTGGGCTCTGGCAGTGGGGAGGCACCAAGGCCCCAGGGCTCGGCCTGCGCAGGGGTGTGGAGGTGTGACTCCGTGACCCCACCGGGCTGCGGGTCATCAGCAGCCAAGGCCGCTGGTCCCGTGTTGCACAGGGAGGAGGAGCGGGGGCCCCTGTGCCGCCTCCCACAGTCTGGCAGGGACTTGCATCACAGGGCGGGCGGTGCTGGGCTCAGTGACTGGGTCTGTGGCCCGGGGACTTCAGGCCCGAGTGATGTGGGGGCAGGAGGGCGGCCGTCCTGCAGGAACCAGCTCGTCGGCCCCAACACCGCCCTGGAGCCGCACCCCTACCCCAGAGGCCCTTGGCAAGTCATGGGCTGGAGCCTGTGGACCGCGCACGCTGCAGGTGTCCCGGCCGCGGCCTTGCCCTCCTGGTTAGGGTGAGCTGCCAGGGCTTGGCCTTGGCTGTGACCCTCAGTGGAGGGGGAGGGGCTCTGAGAGCAGGCCAGGGATGCGAGGACTGGGTCGGTGCCAAGGCAGGGCCCCGAGTGCTGGGGCCGTAAGCGCAGCTGCCATGCTGAGCGCCATTGCTTGAGAGCTTCCTGTGTGCCAGGCCAGATTCTGTCGTTGACTTCTGCCATTGTGTCTATTATACAGATGAAGAAACCGAGGCACGGAGCAGCTAAGGTCAGCAGCCTGGAACCGGCAGGGCCGTGTGTGACACGGGGCCCTCGCGGGCTCCTGGGGGCATGCCTGCTTAGACGGGGGTGGCAGGCAGGGAGCAGGGTGGGTGGTGCCACACCCTCCCTCAGTGTCCCTCTCTCTCGGGACTGCTCTCGGGACTGCAAGGCTGTAGGGGCAGCTGCCAGGGCGGGGCTGGGCGTGCTTGGTCAAGGGCGTAGGGTGACGTAGCCTGAGCTGGGCCGTAGGCTCAACTCTGATGCTTCCTAGCCTAGCACCCGGCCTCAGGCTCCTCATCTGTGAAATGGGACGACAGACATGAGCGCGGTGTCCCTCCCTCAGACTTGCTGGGAGGATTATGTAGGCAACAGACACAGCAGCCTGCGTGCAGCCAGTGCTTGGTGGGCACACGGCTGGTGATAGGCATCTTACCATCACTCTAACCTGCTTACAGCCAGAACTGGGCAGGGCGACTTGCAGGCCTGCTCTGAGCGCCAGGTGCTCCCCACCCTCTCCCACTCAGGCATGGGCTTAGGATTGAGGCCCAGGTGCAGGCCCTGTGCAGAAGGCCGTGAGGTTCAGTGGTCTGCACCAGTGGCTCAGGAGTCAGACGCCCGGGCTCCTCCTCGGTAGCCTGCCGCCTGGGCTGATTGCTCAGCTAAGCCAGTGTAAAACAGCTGCTGCTGCTGGCCCTACTGTGCGCCAGGGTTGCTATAAGGCCGAATGCAGGCAATGCAAGGGGGGACCCCAGGGTGCGCCCGCACAGGGGAGCTCAGCGGTGACCCGTTAGCGGGGCTGAGGCAGGACTAGCACCCGCTGCTCTTCCGCTCTCTTGAAGATCTAGAAATGTCTCGAACGGTGCCGGCTCCCAGATCTGGTTCCTCCAGCCCCAGATGGACAGAGGAGCGCGATGGCTGAGGCCAGAGGGAGCTCACGGGGACGGCCTAAGGCTGGGGCAAGGATCCAGCGTGGAGGAGGGGCACACGCATGCTCTGGTGGCTGCAGACTGGCGCCCGGAGCCTCGGGCAGGCTCCTCCACTGGCTAAGCCACGGTTGCCTCGCCTGGGCCGGGCAGTAACGCGTTGACCAAGTTCCCAGTGCGCAGTGAGAGCCGGCCAGCAGCACACGCTCGGCTCCTCCCCGTGTCCGGCCTGGACAGCTGGGGTCCGCTCCTGGACTTCTGCCCACCATTCTGTGTTGGGGACTTGCCTTCGGCCAGGGCCAAAGCAAAGCCTTGGTCAGTGCTGGTCACCATGGGGCTGGTCACAGTCGGTCTCGAGGTCTCTGAGACCCACAGCCACCTTCGCAGCTTCTGCTGTTTCTGGGCTGCAGTTCAGTGCCTTGGTTTCCCAGTAGCTGAAGCTCCACCCCCCATCCCCCACCCCCACCCCTGCCACCTGGCCCGCAAGACCTTTCTTTCCACTGCCTCTGGGAGACCTGAGAGGTGGGCTGCGCACTGATGCATTGATTACAGAGGGGCAGGGCAATGGGGTGAGGACCACAGTCTCCAACCCCCTGGTGCTGGGTAGGGGCCGTGAGATGTGAGCTCTCCTCCCTCCCAACCCTGAGCTAAATGTGGCTTACGAGAAGCCAAGCTCTAGTCCCCGGTGAGAAGGGGAGGTAGCATTCTAGAAACTTCTGGGGTGCTCCAAAGATGGCTGTGGAGCTCTGGTGTGTAAACACGGGCACACGTGTGTGCAAGTGCCCTGCTGGGGCCGAACACGTCTGCTTTTTCTGAGCTGGGGCTGGGGTCAAACCAGCCTCCGTTGCCTTCTTCCCTTTGGGTTGGGGTCCTTCCCACCAGTCACTGAAGTCATCCTGGGTCCCCGAGGGGACTGTGCCCTCTGACCCCAGGGGTGCTGGGCCCAGAGCCTGCCAGGGGCTCCATGGCGCCCTCAGTCCCAGGTGCTCTGCGCGTCAGAGGCCGGCTGCGCTCCTGGGCGTGAAACATCGCACACGCAGGCGCTCGGCTGCTCCGCAGGGGCTCACGGGGAAGGAGCGGCGCTGGCGTGGGCTGTGTGCCGTGCCCGCTGTGCCACTGCTCCTGTCTCCCGCAGGTCCCTGGCCCTGGGCCAGCAGTACACATCTCTGGGCTCCCAGCCCCTGCTCTGCGGCTCCATCCCAGGCCTGGTCCCCAAGCAGCTGCGCTTCTGCCGCAACTACATCGAGATCATGCCCAGCGTGGCCGAGGGCGTGAAGCTGGGCATCCAGGAGTGCCAGCACCAGTTCCGGGGCCGCCGCTGGAACTGCACCACCATAGACGACAGCCTGGCCATCTTCGGGCCCGTCCTGGACAAAGGTAGGGCCTCTGTGCGCTTGGCGGGAGGCCGGGAGGGCCATCGGGACCCGTTCCTTCCACCCCGCTGACCTCCATGGAAAGTGGACAGACCCAGGCTGTCACGTGGCCGCCACACCTTGGAGGGGGAGGGGGGGCTGGGCCTTGAGATGCTCCAGGATCCCCAGACCTGAGCAGGCACCCAGGAGGCCACAGCCTTCCTTCCTGCCCTGCGGCCCAGGCTTTGATGTGGACTTTTGTGACATCCCCCCTCCCCCCCCCCCAATGCTATGCAGATACAGCGTTGGGGAGGGGGTAGGGCACTGCCCGCCCAGAGGCACCCCCCATCGAGAGAGACCCCAGGAGCTGAGGAAGCTGCCTGGCAAGGCTCCCAGGTCCCCCTGAGAGGACCCGCGTCCTCCATGCTGGGGACGCCCGCCAGGCGCCTCGAAGCCTGGAGTTTAACTCTGCCACCAGTGGCTGGAGCCACACCAGCTGAGTGCGAACATGGCGGGCCCACCTGGGGCAACTCTGCCAGGGCTTGCCGCGTCCAGGATTCAGTGACCCTGGCTGGGCTGCCGGCCCCCAGGGCTTTGCCCACGGATCCGGAGCCCGGCCCCGCCACCTTTCAGGCGGGAGGGACGCGGGGCCCGAGGGCGTGGTGCAGGGGGCGGTGGAGGACAGAGGTGACCCCGCCCTTTTGAGAGGACACCCCCTCCCCCCCACTTTACCTGAGCCTCAGGTGCCCAGAGTCTGTCGGCCCTACAGGCAAAACGCTAGCTATTGTCCTAGGTTAGGAGGGAAATTTGCAAGTCAATGCGTGAGGGCCGCACGCTTCCACGACCCACGCTAATTATTCCTTGTTTACACGAAAGCTTTGGAATCGAAGCAGGGGCTGGCGGCGGCGGTTTGCACTTCAAACCGGATCGCGCCGCCGCCGCCGTCTCACCGCCTTCCGGCGCAGCACCTCGGGCCAGGTAGCCCGAACCCCACGGCCTGGCATCCCGCGGGTGGGTGTCCGCACAGACCCTCGTCCCTCGATTGCAAGGGGGCAGGTGTGGCGGAGGCCGCGGCCACGCGCGCCCCGGCGCCCACGGCTTCGGGCGCTGCCGCCTCCCGCTCGGGGGCCCGCGTGGCGGGAGCCGGCCTGGGCCGGGTCCCCGGGGCGGGGAGGAGGGCGCGGGGGTCGGCGGCCGGAAGGGGCGAGCGGCGGCGGAGGGCCGGGGCGCGGCCTGGAGGCTTGAAAGGGTCCGGGCGCGGCCCCCCGCCGCGGGCCCGGCCCCGCGCCCCCGCGGCCGCCGCGCCATTCACACGCCCTCTGCCACCGGGCGCGGCGCGGGGGCGGGGGGCGCCGCCTCCCTGGGGACGGCGCGGCCCGGCGCCGGGGCCGGGGGCGCGGCCCGGCCGCGGGAGCCGCCCGTTGCTACGCGGTGGCGGCCGGCGCGGCGGCCCGGGCGGCGGCCGCATTATGCGGGTAATGCGGTGTGACACCGCGCGAACAAAGGCGGATTGAGCGGCGCAGCGGGCCCCGCCGGACGGGGACCGGCACAGCGGGGCTGTCAGCGCCGCTCCCAGGCTAATCCCCGCCCCGCCCCCGCCGCCCCCGCCGCCCCGGCGCTGGGAACCGCGCGCGGCCCGCGCCGGGCGCCGCCGCCGCCGCAAGAGGCCGCGGGCCGGCCGGAAGCGCGGGGCGCCCGCCCTGGGAGCGCTCCCTGGGCTCGGGCGGCGGGGTGCCCCGGGCGGTGGGGGCGGACCCCGCCTCGCACTCCCGGCCGTCCGTGGGTGCCCGCGGGACGGGGTCCTCTTGTGCTCGGTCCTCGAAGGGGTCCTGGGCTCGGGCGAGCCACCGCCCGGCTCGGAGACAGGCGGGCGGGCATCCCGCATCGTCAGAGTCCGCATCTGTGAAACGGGCCAGTGACGCCCGGCCCTGCGCAGACGGGTCCGACCCGGCCCGCCGGCGGTGGTCACCACGCCCCGGGATCGCTCCTGGCCCTTGGTGGACCGTGCCCGACCCTTACGCAAGGGCTTGGCTCTGTCCTGCCGTGGGCAGGGGATGGGGAGTGGCGCCACAGAGAGGGGGACAGGGACGGGGCGGGGAGCCGCAGGTTCCCGGGGCTGCTTCCCCGCAGATCCCAGCTCCCACAGGAATAGGAGGGCCGTGGCCCGCCGACCCCAGGTGGGCGCGGGGGTTGAAGCCAGCCCGGCCGCCGGCCAGCGCTGTCCTCCTTCCCGCCCATCCATCACAGGCTCTGCCTGGCCCTGGGACTCTGCTCATCCAGAAAGTGGGGATCTTGGGCCCCTGGGTTCCTACTCTGCCCTTGGGGCTGGTGAGCCCGAGGCGGGGCTGATGCCTCCCAAGCCCCGTGCTCAGCGCCGCCTCCCGCGCTCTCCCCGCAGCCACCCGGGAGTCGGCCTTCGTGCACGCCATCGCCTCGGCCGGCGTGGCCTTCGCCGTCACGCGCTCCTGCGCCGAGGGCACCTCCACCATCTGTGGCTGCGACTCTCATCACAAGGGGCCGCCCGGCGAAGGCTGGAAGTGGGGCGGCTGCAGCGAAGACGCCGACTTCGGGGTGCTGGTGTCCCGCGAGTTCGCTGACGCCCGCGAGAACCGGCCGGATGCCCGCTCGGCCATGAACAAGCACAACAACGAGGCGGGCCGCACGGTGAGCCGCCGCCGCCCTTGCCCAACCCTGGCGGAGCTCCCGCCCCACCCCTGCCCAGCCCTGCCCCCTCCAGGGGTTCCCTTTGCCCTTGGCCGGGCTTGGCTCCCGCCTACTCCGCGGTCAACTCCACGGTCACCTCTTCCGTCCACCCTCCTTCCTCCTCGGACTCTTCTGGTCTTGGCTGGGGTCCAGAGTGCTGGACCTGTGGCCACGCGGAGGGCAGGTGCTGCTGCCCACCCTGTGCCCTCTGCTGGCTGTGGAGCGCTGTGAAGTCCTGGGGACCCGGGTGTTGAATTCAGCCTCCGCCCCTTGCTATGGTGTTGTGGCCTCAGGCCAGTCACTCATGCTCCCAGCCTCAGTTTCCCCATCTGCTCATGGGGACAACAATCCCTAGTTTCCTAACACCTCCAGAAGTGGCTGGCTGTGATGTTCACCAATGCCTGGGGTGCCATGGGGGGCAGGGGTGGGCGTGGCAGAGTGGAAGATCTAGATGTTCTCCCAGGTGGGGTCAGTGTAGGGGCCAACGGCTCTTCTGTTCCCCAGACCATCCTGGACCACATGCACCTCAAGTGCAAGTGCCACGGGCTGTCGGGCAGCTGCGAGGTGAAGACCTGCTGGTGGGCCCAGCCCGACTTCCGTGCCATCGGCGACTTCCTCAAGGACAAGTACGACAGCGCCTCGGAGATGGTGGTGGAGAAGCACCGGGAGTCCCGGGGCTGGGTGGAGACCCTGCGCGCCAAGTACGCGCTCTTCAAGCCGCCCACCGAGAGGGACCTGGTCTACTATGAGAACTCCCCCAACTTCTGCGAGCCCAACCCAGAGACGGGCTCCTTTGGCACCAGGGACCGGACTTGCAACATCACCTCCCACGGCATTGACGGCTGCGACCTGCTGTGCTGTGGCCGCGGCCACAACACGAGGACGGAGAAGAGGAAGGAGAAGTGCCACTGCGTCTTCCACTGGTGCTGCTACGTCAGCTGCCAGGAGTGCATCCGCATCTACGACGTGCACACCTGCAAGTAGGGAGCCAGGTAGGGCGCGGGCTGGCGAGGCGCGAGGCGAGACGCCGGCGCGGGGCGTGGCTTTGCGGGCTGCTGGCGCGGGGCGTGGCTTCGCCTTTGGCCTCTTCTCGGCCCATTCCCTTTCTAAGCCCTACAAGCCACCCAGGGGGAGCCAGGATGTTCTAGGCGACAGTGGGAGTGGTCGGTGGGCGGCCACTCTGTGGATTGCACCGAGCGCGTGGTAATGACCTCGTGTGTGCACGTGAGCCGCAAGTCTTCACGATTCTTAGATGAGTGGCCAAATTGCAAGCCGTATGCCATCTGGCTGGACCACTGATCATCTGTAGAGCCAGAGGAGGGGCCTCCAGGGGTTGCGAGCTGGAGGACCTGGCGTCTGGCCCCAACCTGGTCCCCAGTTTCCTGTCATTTGGCTTCTCCTGGCCACAGCTTTCTCGCTGTAAAATGAGAGGGTTAAAGTATCTGACAGTAGGTCGGACGTCTGCTTCCCCTGGGGCAGAGTCACTTTGCCTCCACCTTGAACTTGCAGGCAGGTTTGTGTAAGCCGAGCCCTCCCCACCCGGGGCCGGGAAGCGGCGGCTGAGCCCACAGCCCGACACCTCTGAAGCCTGGGTGGAGCCGGGTGCTCTCACCGCGTTTATGGATGGCGATGGGGGTTTGGGTTCACAGTGGCTGTGATGAGTAAGCAGGGATCAAAGGCTGCTGGATGGTGCCCCAAGCCTCCCAGAGGTGGCCGTGTGGGAGGCACCATCCGTGGGTCCACCCTGGCGGAGCCCCTCAGCAGGAGCCTGGGCTACAGAAGCTGGAGCCCACCCTAGCCTGGCTTCTGCCAGTGCTCAGCCACGCGGCCTGGATAGGATAACCTGTCCTCAATGTCTTCCTCTCCAGGGGCGCCGTGCAGAGCCCATGAAAGACTACTGGCGGCAGCACGTGGCTCACGGAGAAGCACATGCCGGCTGGGGCAGCATTAGGGGCGGGTGGCCTGGCACCAGCCAGAGCCCCCTACTCAGTGCCACAGCTCCACACAGGGGGTCTCAGTGCCCATCTGTGCTGTGGGGGAGGGTGAAGGGGGCGGAAGGTGACATGGAGGTCATTTCAGTGGCTGTAGGGACCTGGGTGTGTCTGAGACCCCGTGGGGCAGTTGGGATCTGCCAAGCAGGGGAGGAGGTGCTGGGTCGGCCCTCAGTGTCCAGAAAACCTCCCCGCCACCCGCGAACCAGTGCCAACCCTCAGGACCCACACTCTCCAAGCCCCTCTTCCACAGACAGCTGGGGCTTGCTATTCTTACTGAACAGCTCTAGGAAGTGGCTCCAAGAGGCCTTGTCAGGGCCGCTCACAGCACCCAGGCCCCTCCTGCCTGGGAGCCCCTGTCACTGGGACAGTGGGACAGCCCTCCCCCCCAGCTGCCATCCAGTGCATCCTGGCCAGTGCGCCAGCCTCTTGGAGCCCTGGTTTCCTCATCCGGGAGCTGGGGCTGAGCCGTGGCCCCCACAGGACGGTCCTGTGGACAGCCCCCGGCCATGGCGAGGGCAGAGTGCGCCCCGGCCTCCCTGGGTGGGACACACACCTTCCCCCTTCCTTGCACTGTGGTCCAGCCCCTCTGGCCAACCCGAGCGCCAGATCGAGTCCGTGCTGGGCTGAGAAGGTTCTAGCAGGAGTCAGGTGGCCTGGCTCTGTCGCTCCTGCTGTGGAACCTTGGGCGTGTCCCTTAGCCCCGCTGTGACCCTGAGAAAGGGCCTGGGGTGGGCGGCAGCTCGCAGGGCACCGGGGCTTGGTTGCCTGTGAAATTGCTTCGGGCCCCCAGCGCTTTGTCGGGGAGAACTCTACAAGTGAATAAAATGTACACACTGGTGCTCCCTTGGGAAGGGCTCATTCATGATTAATTAAGTGGACTTTCTCCTGTTTGGACAGCGGCAGTACAAACGCCACAGCGCACGCCTGGCACCGGCCCAGCCCAGGAGTTGACTCAAGATGGGGCCTGGGCCACGGGCCTGGCGTGCGTTCTCTGCCTCCGTGTGGCGTGGTGGCACCTGCGGCCACGCCCCAGCGCCGGCTAGCCATGGGGAGGGAGGATCTGCATCCCAGGCTGCTGCTGCTCCTGCCTGTCACATGCGCTCCCCGGCGGTGGGCCCGGGAGTGCAGGTGCGCGTGGGGGCGCCCCTGGATCTCAGCACTGCGGCCTCTGCGTTTTGCACCCCAGTGGGAAAGGAGTCACGTTTCTAATTCTTCCTCTTGGTTTTCCCGAAGGGCGCTGGGAAGGGGTGAAGCGTGCGGCTGGGTGGATTCACCGAAGTCTCCTGGGAAGCAGATGCGAGAGCCCAGCTCAGCCCTCAGTGCCACTCAGCAAGGAGCCCGGACTGTTGCCAGCTGTCCGTGGTAAATGACCTGGACCCCACCTGCCGCCGCCGCCACCGCCGCCACCGGGAGCCGCTCCTCCCCCTCCCCCTCCGACTCTCACCCCACTCTGGATGGTGTGTGGTTTTTACAGAAGGGGCTTTCTTTTTAGTTCTCGAGGGTCTGATCAGAACAGACCCAAGGTTATCTTTGCACACATTAAAGAAAATAAAAATGAAAACAAAACAAAACAAAAACAAAAACAAAACCAATTCTCCAACAGCACAGGCTGTGAGCTCTCGGCCTGGTGGTGAAGACCCCCGATTCTGTCTGCAGACTGCCTGGGAAGGAGGACTGGCGCCCGCACCTCTGGCCACTCCCACTCCTGGCCATGCTCGCTCGTGTGGCTGGGAGGAGCCCCGGGAAGGTGCGAGGCACTGGCTAGAGCAGATGCAGTGTTGAGGGCGTTCTGGGGAGCGCTCGGGAGAGCAGTTCTGGGTCCCTCTGTCTCCTGTGCTGCACGAGGCAGGCAGATCGCCCCCCGCCCCGTGGCCGCCGCTCCTGCCTGGCGGTGGACATTGGGCGACAGGCCTTCTCCAGCCCCGGCGGCTCCCTAAGAAAAGAGCGGTGTCTTTGGAAGGGGCCATGCAGTCCTCCCCCGCCCCGCTTCCCCAAACACTGTCCAGGTAGAGCAGCTGGACTCCTGGTCCCTAGTGTGAGTCAGACACGGGGTCAGCGAGAGGGAGGCTAACCGGATCGCGGAATCCCAGCTTTGGGACGAGTAGGTGGGGAGGATGAGGACGGGCCCCTCTGTCTGCTCCCCAGGGACGCGCCTACCTGCGCCCCTCCCTCTCCCTCTCCAGTGCACGAGAGAAAAGGAGACAGAGGGCTTCCCCGCAGCGCCCAGGGTCTGGCTCCCGGCGCCTCCCTGCCCAGGCCTCCTCGAAGCACACGGGTCCTGCTGGGGGACCTGGGGCACATGAGCAGAGTGGGGCAAGTGGATTTGCCAGCACGGACCCAGCCAACTGCGGCGTGGTCGGGAGAGTCGTGGCCGAGGAGCAGCGCCGAACAAAGATTGTTCTTTCTTCCCGCTTCATCTCTGGTGTCTCCCTGAGGCTGACCCTGGCCCCTGGCCCATGCCCCCACCGCGGTGGGAAGTGCCCCTCCCCCTGTCACCCAGCGATGTCGCTCGCTTCCTGTGAGAATTCTTCAGCAGAGTGGATCCACACTTCCCCAGCCGTCGTTCCATGTCTCTGTGTTCTCATCACAAGTGATAAAGTCACGTTTCCGGGCGGATTCGAGTAGCCAAGACATCCCCGTTCAAGGGTAGCACGAGTGCGTGGTCAGGTCGCAGCATCCCACGGAGACTCCTCCCAACCTGCTGTATCCAAAGTTTTGTAAAAAGTTGTAGAAGTTGTTGATCTTTTTCATTTTATATTCGAAAAGTCTCTTTTTATAAATATTATTTATTATACAATGTATATACCTTTGAGTTAACTAAGATTATATATTATATAAATATATATATATTTGGAGAAAATATATTTCATCATGCAGTTTTTTTCTGTTAAGCCATTAAAGAGAAGGTGAACAACTGTGAAGTTTCTGACACATTGTACGGTGCGTGGTGCTGCCCGGGGTGCAGGTCGAGGACGCCTGGTTCTGAACACGGCGGTCCCGGTCAGTCAAGGGGCCAGACTGGGGTCTCCTTCCTCAGGTGCTGTCAGCCCGAGCGTCAGGGACGGCCCGGACTGTCCCAAGACTTCCTCTGTGCTAAGTCAACCGCTGACGAGGCATTTTAGGCTTTGGAAATAATCACGGCGAGCAGCGATTCACTGCCTAGACTCGAGCCCGTTCAAGTACAAATTCATGTCATAGACGTCCCCAGAAGATGTGGCCCGAGGCCAGCAGACCACGGGCTTGGCCACTGCCTTAATCCCTTCCTCTCAACAGGTTTTCAGCTCTGTTTATCGGGAAAAGAGGATTTGCCCTACTGAAAGTGAGACTTGACTGCTAACGCCTCTCCCCTGCCGGCTCCGCTGAGAGCCGAGACACAGGGGCAGGTGGGCGTGCCTGGCTGCGGAGTATTGGATGGGCTGGGAGGGAACCTCCACGCGCTGGCCAGGGCCCCCTCCCGTCACAAGGACTCCCCCACAGCCCTCAAGCTCTGCCTTCTTAGCGAACAGCAGAAACTCTGTCTATGGCGACAGATGACGCCTTTGTTGTCCGCTCCACTCATCACACAGTCCCTTTGGTTTCTCTGGCACATCATTTCAGAGAACAGCTGTAAGGTTTCTTTCTCTTGCTCTACTTCTTTTTGGAACAAATCTCATTTTTTAAAAAAAGATTTATTTGAAAGGTGGGGTTTCAGAGGAGAGAGAGAGAGAGAGAGAGAGAGAGAGAGAGAGAGATCCATCTGCTGGTTCACTCCCTAAATGGCTGAAACAGCCAGTCCTGGGTCAGGCTGAAGCCAGGAGACAGGAACTTCATCTGGGTCTCCCACATGGGTACAGGGGCCCTTGGGTCATCTGCTGCTGCTTTCTCAGGTGCATTAGCAGGGAGTTGGATCAGAAGTGGAGCAGCCGGGACTTGCTCGGGCGCTTGTATGGGAGCTGGTGTTGCAGGCCACGGCTTAACTGGCTGCACCACAACACTGGCCCCAGGAACAAATCTTATTTACTTACCTTATAGACACATAAGAACAGGAATAAAAGAAGTCTGCCTCATGCAGGGGAGACGCAGACCTCTGACCCTAGATCAGGAATGGCTACCTTCCTTTTGCCTGTGTCTTCAGTCCCGGAAAAGGATAAACCACAAGCATGGTTACATTTCAGCCTGGTCGGGTGGGCGTCCGCGGCGCACGGTGTTGGCCATCGCCCATCTCTCCTTCGCCTCATATCTCACCTTCACATAAAACAAATGCTCACCCACCCCGGCATTCTGGGGAGGGAAACCTCCAAGGTCGTCGGGTACTTAAGGGGTCCCTGCTCGTGGGAGCCGAGGCCACTCAGTCCTTCCTCTGATTAGCCATGTTCTGTGATGGAAGACGGTACAGTTATAGCTGAACTTGAGCATCTATCATAAACCCTGTTAAAATATCTAGAAATGACAGGAAGTTTGAAAAGATCTAGAAGAAACAGGCCTTTGAAAGCAGCGTTGCTTGATGGAGGAGGAGGCACAGACGCAAAGCTGAGGACGTGCGGGAGCAGAGCGCGGGGAGACCTGCTGGGGAGGTCACCTGGCGTGTACGCAGTGCTGCCCACGAGCCAGCTGGGCACCAGTGCGCCTGCGCAGGCTACACACACACACACACACACACGAAGTTGATTCAGCAGAAATCTGGCTCAATGCTCTTGTCGCTTCTCTCAGTGTAACGGGGAGCTTCCCATCTAGCGAGTGGGGAAACGACCTTACCACTGACTCCCCTAACAGGGGGACAGCGGCCGTGTGGCCACAGGGTGCTGGGGACATTCAGAGTTTGAGTTCCCCTCGCACATCCTGGCTTCCCTGCGTGGGGACCCTGCCGGTCACGGCACCAGCTCTGTGCGCACGGTGCACACACGCCCCGGGATCGTTTCGGCTCGGCTGGCCAGCGGACGAGGACCCTCAGCCCGTTCGGGATGAGCTCTGAGGCTGGCACGCTTTCGATGGCTCAGCTCAGCTCGCCCGGTCAGTCCTCTGCGGAGGCTGTGGGACCAGGAAAAGGAAAGCCTGCCCTGGCCTCCTGGGCACGGGCTGCGGGCGGACGGCCGACCCACGGCTTCCACGAGGCTGTTCCTCAGGGGTCAGCGTTCACTCCATGCCCCGGTGACTTGCTGCTGAACCTCGAAGCGGAAGCTGTTCATTTTAATCTTTAGGCTATGAAAAGACAGCCTTAAAGCAAAACGTACTGCAGATTTTAACCAAAACTATTAACTTTTCTTTTTTTTGGTTTAAAAGAGTGTCCCAGGGAAGACGTACAAACTTAGGATAAAATAACCTCTTTTGAGGTTTTAATTATATCTTCTGACCAAAAACCAGCCAGTTGACCGTCTACCCATGAAGGAAGGACACTCCTTTGCCCCCAGTCATCGCGGCTGGCTCTGAGGAAGCTTGTCGGCTCTCAGGTCTGCGCGGGTGTCAGCTGGCCTCCGGAGCTCCTGGGGCTGACCCTGCTTAGGAGATGCTCTTGACATTGACCTCCGCCCCACGGCGCCTTGCTCGTATTCTGGACTGCCTTGCATCCTACCCCAAGCCAAGACAAAGGATCAGGGCTGACAGCTCTCACAACAGTGCAAGAAACTATGAAGGCTACCAAAGTGAACCATGGGAAATCTCATCAAGAGGGCTGGAGTCCACCGGTTTGTAACTTTCACAGGAAAGAATTTTTTTGAAGTTTTATTTATGTCTTTGTTTGAAAGGCAGAGAGTGCGAGTGAGAGCGCTTTCATCCACTAGTTCATTCCCCAAATGCCTGCAGCAGCTGGGGCTGGGCCGGGCTGAAGCCGGAATCTCAGACGCCTAATCTGGACCTGCCACACTGTAGCGGGGACCCAAGTACTGGGGCCACCGCTGCTGTCTCCCACGTGTGCATGAGCAGGAGGCTGGGACTGGAGGCGGAGCCGGCACTCGGACGCAGGGGCTCTGATGTGGGATGCGGGCCAAGGCATACCAAGTGCTGGACGCCCACTCCCGAGAAGTTGTTAAATAAAAACCATCACCTCCTTATCCTAGTAACAAAACGGGGGTGGTTCTTTTTTCTCCGCATGTTCCTGTCATTGTCATGTTGTTTTGTATGAAATATCGGCTTTCAGAACGCTTTCAAGTGTATTTACTCTTTATTGCATTCCTTCATTTGCATTAAACAATATAATATTTATATTTTTCAATATAGTTTTGGACAAAACACAGAGACATTAAGCTCATTGAACAAGAGACAGAAGTTAACACAACGTGTGCTGCTTTCACGGGAGGAGGACGGGGCTGAGGAGACCCAGGACACTGGCCACCAGGAGTCACACGATGTCACGAGACAGTCAATCCACTTTTAAAAAGCCACAAAATAAACTAGGGCTGGAAATGCGAAACAAAGCAGACAGGACACACGAGTCTCCACCAGAAGCACGCAGGCAGCCAGGTCTGGAGACGGTCTGCTGCGGGGTGACGACAGAGCCACTCCCAGCGCCGCCGCGGGAGGTCGGAGCACCCTGGGGTGGCCGTCAGCGCCCGGCCCTGCACCCTGAGCAGCGATGGGGAGAGTGGCGAGCGCTGTGAGTCACCCTGACTCAGGTGGAAGACACGGCACCCCGGAGGGCCCCGCGAGTCCTCCCGGCCTGGAGCAGCGTGCGCAGGGTGAGGGGACGCGCAGTGTGTGGAACGACGGGGGGAGGACCGAGGGCAGCTGGACGGCCACGTTTTACTGGTGCCAGACAGCACGCCGGTAACTGAGGTCGCGGAGGGGGGATTCCAAGTAAGCATCAAGCGTCAGGGGAAGATGAAAGTGCCGATCCTAATGAGGCCTCACTGCAATGCTGAGCAACTGACCTACTTACAAGCTGGCCACTAACGAGTGCTGAGAGGCTTGTAAATGACTTTATTTTAGTAACTTCTTTCTGTGGCGGGTATACACTTTTCTGCATATGGATCTTTCTCAGGCTTGTAACATCTACCAAGTGGTGACGATCGGGTACTTCTGATCACAGAACAAGTTACCTCCATGAGGGGCTGTCAGGGCAAACAGCAGTTATCTTTCTCTTAACAAAGCTCTCCCGACTGCAGCTCGGCCACACCTCTGCAAACGTCTGAGGAAGCAGCTCAGACATGCAAGACCCTGTTTCTTTAGGCAAAGATAGTGAGCGGCTTTCTGGGAGAACCTTGAACCAAACACCAATTACCTTTAGTGTTAACACCGGGACGCACATTCTAGGCGCGCTCCTGGTCTGCGCAGGGGGCGGCTCCCTCGTACTAGGCCACGCTGCCTGCGTGCAGGGGTGGCGGGGGCGGCGGGAGGGAGTTAGCACGTGTAGTGTTCACCAGCACGGGACGTTTCGCACACGTAGCTTCTGGTCAGAAGGAAGCATCTTAGCTCGAAAGGGAAACACAGCACTCTACAGCAACTCTGCACCTTCCACAAACACTAGAGGGTCTTGGGAAGCAGGGGGAGGGCTCCTGAGCACTAGTCATGCAGAGCGGGCGCGTGGCGAGGGTGGAGAAGTGGTCGCTGAGTCCAGCATCTGGGGGCAGGGAAGACCCCTGGCCGTCTTCACTGCGGTCACTCCCCTTGGTCACTGTGTCCTGCAAGCGGTCGTCTTCAGTCCAAGTCCAGGGGGCTACTGCAAGAGAGACAGCCAACACCACACAGGAAAACAGCTGCAGCGCTGCCAAATGCCCCGCAGCTCAGCCACTGACCCTGCTCCGCGCTTCTCCACATTTCCCACTACGCGTCTGCTGTAGGGGTCTCACAAAGAAGGTGGTCACAGTTCCATGCACTGAAAAGCAGGCTCTCATAGATATGTACCATCGAGTTTTCTCCTGCATTGTGTGACAAGGAAGTTTTGCGAAGCAGGAGAGGGAGAGAAAACCAACAGAACAACCAACTTCCTTGCTCGGTCCCTCAGACCTACAACAGTGGAGAAGCCCAACAAACGGAAGCAGTTACTTAAGAAGGAACGCTCACATCTGCAGGACCGACAGCCACTCTCAGAACAGGCACTGGGTGGAGGAGGGGTGCGGGAGCTGGCTGGCAGCCTGTACTTACGCTCCTTCTTCTCGTAAGAGGGCCAAGAATTTCCTCACCCGGTATTCAGGATCCATCTACATGCACCGGAAGGAATACAGAGGCAGGTTAATGGCGCTGCCAACAACTGTGCACTCACTCACCCTGTGCCAAGGACACACTGGGTTGCGGACTTGCGGCGGGGTTCTGCTGAGCCACAGAAACCGGCTACCTGCTTCTTGACCGTGTTCCCACGCACCACACGGCAGACTGCCATCCAAGAGAGGCCAATGCGTTTCCCAGTGTGGACAGCCTGTGTGTCGGATGCTCCAGGCACCCTGACTGAGCACCGAGTAACTGGCACCACAAGCCTGTGAGGCGTCGCCATGGGCCCAGACCAGTGTCACCCACGGGGGCTCACGTGGCTTCCAACTCACAGGACTTAGGTAGAAAAGAAAGCAAACGGAGTCTGAGCAGACGACTAAAATCCAGCTCATTCACTCCATACAGTCAGCAATTGAGCATTCCCTGGCCTTGGTCTTGCTTGGTCAGCGTCTTCACCCCATGAATGGAAGTTTGCACTGACACCAAGAAAGGGAGAGTCCGCGCCTCCGGCTCAGCGACCTCAGAAAGCACGGCGGGTTCTGACGGAGCTGCTTGCTTTAGGGCCTTCTTATTAATGACTTCTACTGTTTTCCATTTTATATTCATATTCAGACTAATTTGCTAAAATACATTATTCTCACTGGTCCGCCAGAAATGTGAAGTTATCTGGAAAATGATCATTAAAAACATCTCTAATTCCTTAAGATGAATTTTTATTGTAAGAGAAACACGCCTAACTTTTAAAATATGTTTCAGGCAGGCGGCTGCTTCCCGAGAGGGAACTCCCTGCCCTCCAGGAAGAGCGTGCGGCCGCGCGCAGCTGCTGTGGGCAGACGCAGGTGGATCCCCGCTCCACTTTTTTTTTTTTCTTTTTAAAGATTTTTCTCTCCTATCCCAGAAAAACATTGAACAGAAGTTTCAAATGTATCAAAGTTAAGAGGTCAGACTACAAAGCACTAAGAAAAGTGTGAACAGCTAACAAAAGAAACATTTTTCCTCTTTGGGAATAGAATTACATATGAATCAATTGTCAAGGTCTTTTTTTAAGAAAAAAAAATGGAACTGGCTGGAGCTCAGCTGTAGTCGGTACTTGCAGGCCTTCGCCCATTAAATAGATTTAATATGTGTGAGCAACGACTTACTGGCTTGCCTGTAGCTATGGAATTAAAAGTCAAGAGAAAGGGAGGAAAAAAGTAATCTAGATAAATGACTTTATTCCCTCAGGTGACATCCAGTCAGAGCAGATCCTGAGCGCTGTGCAAGTTTTAACAGAGTCGCGGAGCGCGAACAGAGAGGGAACATGACTTCCAGTCTGCGCGACCACATGCCTCTCCACTGAGGCTCAGCTCTCGGAGGCAGATCTAAAGAGGATTCACTCAGCTGCACGAAATCCATTTGACATGAAGGGGTTCAGACTCGGAGGCCTATGAAGTGTCAGCGCTGCAGATTAGGCCTGAGTGCCCACTCTCACTTTCCACCCCACGTACGCAGTGGCATTAACTTGATCACTGACCTGCAGGCATCAAAGGCAGAGGGGCTGGGGGCTGGGGAGGAAAACCCACATAGTTTCTTCTACGCAATTATTGAAAAACATTTGTGCTGAAACTTAAAAAAAAAAATAGTGACAAGCTGACTTTCTGACAGATTTATCTTCTTCAAGGAAAAAGCCAATATACCTGCCTGTGTGTACCTTTACCACGAACAGGCAGTGATTGGTCTGTAACATATTTATTGCTCATAATGGAAAACAAATAAACTGACTTTAAAAAAAGTCCATATGCAAATTTAGTAGATGAAATCTTAGGTTTGTGAAAACCACAAGGATTTTATTTTAAAATATAAACTATGAGAAAAGACTCCAAGGCACTGCTTTGTTACTGTCCGGGAGCCCATTTCTGATGTCACTGCTGCACCCACTGCTCACCCTGACTGCTCACTGCAGCACACCATGCTCAGACAGTGCCGCTCTGTCCTGTCCACCGTGCCCCAGAGGGTTGGTTTACTCCTGCAGAGAAGTCCACGGGGCAACCACCCACGTGTCTAGCTCTGCTCCGGGGCTGTGGGCTCAATGAGAACCAAGGCATCTCATCTCGCAGACAGCAGGAGGGATGTATTTACTAACTAGCAAGTCAGGGGAGCAAGAAGACACAGGATGGGTACACGGGGTGTGTGGTTCCAGAAAGAGAAAGAGAAAAGCAAGTTGCCAAAGTTCCAAAAGTTTCTCATGTCTTTTCCGGGTGGCAGCTCGGGGCTCAGTTCTATTTGATCCTAGAGGCTTCAACCCTGTGGTAGTCTGTATGGAACGTCCAGGAGTCCGGGACCAGCCTGCAAGTCAATGAGCCCGAGCCTAACAGCAGTGCGCGTGGCACCCGTCTGGGCGCAGGTGTGGTAGGGTGCTGAGCGCTGATGTACACCACCGCCCCTCCTCCACCACCAACCTGGGGGCCCACAGCACACTCAGCTCTCAAAGGAGGGGTGGCAGAGCAATCACCCTTTGAAGTGCTCTCTAGTTTTAAGATCCAGTGACTGCCCAACCTAAAATGAAAAGTAACTTTCTAAAAGCTTCTCTTCTAGTTTTGAATTTTGAGAAGCACAAAAGAAAAGTATTGTTTGATCTCAGAAGCACGCTACTGATGTCAGCTTGAAGTGGGAAATCGTGTAAGATTTATCACTTAAACGAATGAAAACCTCAGCCAAAGGAAATCAGAAAGCCCCCTCCCGCCAGCCCCGTACGGCTTGAAGCTTCCTCCCACACCCGAACCACAGAGGAGGACGTATCTTACTTGCAGGGACATCTCGATCAACATCAGCAACTTCTTGATTCCTATCCAGACCTTCCTCCCTTTGACTTGCTGTGCAATTGTGGTGCGTTCCTTATCCTTGAAGTTGCCCAAAAGCTAGAGAAACGATAAACAACAGCGAGGACACATTTACAGTAAGCATGTCAACAGCGTAGTTAATTCTTACATTTACCCTTAAAAAACAGCCTTGAGAACTATCTGTTTAAAACTGATAGGGCTCTTGGGGCCGGTGCTGTGGCGTAGCGGGTAAAGCTGCCGCCTGCAGTGCCAGCATCCCATATGGGCATTGGTTCAAGTCCCAGCTGCTCCACTTCCAATCCCGCTCTCTGCTAAGGCCTGGGAAAGCAGAAGATGGTCCAACTCCTTGGGCCCCTGCACCCACATGGGAGACCTGGAAGAAACTCCTGGCTTCAGATCAGCACAGCTCCAGCCATTGCAGCCAATTAAGGAGTGAACCAGTGGATGGAACACCTCTCTTTCTCTCTCTCTCTGCCTCTCCTTTGCTCTCTGTGTAACTCTTTCAAATAAATAAATAAATATTTAAAACAAAACAAAACAAAACAAAACAAAAAAACCTGATAGGACTCTCTCTATTTTAAAATCCAGTCTGACCTTTCTAAGCCAGTCACAAAAGTGAAGACTGGTATCTGTGTCTGAACCCTTGTTTTCCTAGAGACCTCCTAACTCAGAGATGCATTTGTCGGAGGAAAGACAACTCCACTCCATAATAAATATGCTGAAATTTTTAACATTCCTTTCTAGGAACAAGCTGTGTGTGTCAAAGCAGGCCACATTTGATTTTCTTACCCGATGCCAGCATAGGAGCTGCTCAAACAAGCAGTCTGGAGGCACTGATCACGTAGACAACGCTGACTGCTGGGAGCGCGGCACACCCCGACACCACGGGGCTTCAGGACTCTGAGAGGCTGCTCTGACTCTGCTGCTGCCCGAGTAACTCACTGGATGATACTGCCCAACACAGTGCAAGCATCTGTGCACTCTGACGCTCATCACAAGTTTAAGGAACATATTTTTTAGAAATTAAAGATTCTGTCATCCTGAGAAAGTTTAAGAAAACATTTCTATATTATATACTTATTTTTTATTATATACTGCCTTTTTTTTTTTAAATGATTCATTCATTTATTGAAAGGCAGAGCTACAGAGAGGCAGAGGCAGAGAGAGAAAAAGATCTTCCATCTGCTGGTTCACTCTCCAGATGGCTGCAATGGCCAGAGCTGGACCAATCTGGAGCCAGGAGCTTCTTCTGGGTCTCCGACACGGGTGCAGGGGCCCAAGGACTTGGGCCATCTTCCACTGCTTTCTCAGGCCGTAGCAGAGAGCTGGAGCAGAAGTAGAGCAGCCAGGACTCAAACTGGCATCCATATGGGATGCTGGCACTGTAGGCAGTGGCTCTACCCGCTACGCCATAGCTCCTGCCCCTACAGTTCCTCTTTTGAAGTTTCTAAGACTTTAATCACTGCTCTAATTTATTAAATACAAAGAAATATGTAGAGGGCTGACACGAATGACGGATATTTCTAGTAGGGACTACCTCCCCGCCACGTTCCCTCCCAGCCGCCCAGGTTCCTGAAGCATGTCATCTGGCTGTGTCCCCCAGGCTGGGCAGAGTTAAGTCAGCCCTGGCAGTTCGTGTGCTGCCTACACTGAAGAAAGGGAGTCACTTCACTGGCACTGGTACTCATCTTCTTCCTGTAACTCCTGGAGACTAATGGAGGTAATACGTCAGCATCCCACGTTCTAGGCTAACACAGAAACCAAACACCAGGTGCGACGCTGTTGGACTCCTTAGCGCTTTTCCAGTCTCAACTCCTTTCTTATAAACAGTGTGCAGTCCACGGACTCCTCACCTCCAGAGCTTCCAGCAGCTGCTCTCCCGTGGCAATGTTGGGCACGTGGATAGTGGTGCTGAAGGCGTTAAGCATTTCCATTTCCTGAAGGACATCTTTGCGGCTGGTGGTCCCAATGATGAGAAGCTTGCGGCCCTGATCAGAGGCGAAAACGTTGAAACGCACAAGTAAGAATAATTAGGAAACCAGAGCAAGCTTGACTGAAACGTGCAATGTCCACTGATTCAATCACAGGAATAGAAATTAAGCCAAAGAGAAGAAAATTCAGGATTTTCCTCAAGAAGACCTAAAAATGAGTACCAACAAGCTGACTGGGAATGGGCAGCTTCTCAAGAGCTTTCCATTCACATCGCGCAGACGAGGATCACTATGAATTCTGCACCCTCCCCGTACGCCCCTTTCTCATCTTTCCAACAGTCACTTCAGCCTTCAGTGAAGTCTTATTCAGTAGTCACCATGACCATGTGATGTGCAGCTGAGTCACATGGAGGGTTGCTCAATCTCCCTTTTTAGGTGGCATTTCCTTTCTACTAGAGTTAATGATCGCCTCCCCCTACTGATTAGTTTATCAGGACTTATCACAAGCTCTTCTTCAAACACAATCAGAAATCTCCTTTCAATGTGTTTTTTTTTGTTTTTTTTTTTTCTTTTTTTCTTGAAGACACTGCCCTCCTGGAGTCCCCGTCTTCATAGCCCATCTGGGCTGCCCACTCTCTAGGCCTGCTGCTCAGCTGTGGCTCTGGAACTTCCCTCCTTTCTCTGTTAGCTCTCCTGTAACCTCATCTCCCTTTACCCATGCTGAAGATGTCCAGAAGCCTCTTGAGAAAGGGTGCCTGGGAAATAAAATGGTAGGACCTTGCGGTCTGGCAACGCCTTGATTCCTTCCTGAGTCTTGTACTCTCATTGCATACTTACGGCTTTGACTAGGTACAGCGAGTAAGGCCAGAAAAAAAATGCTCTCAATTTTGAAGGCATTGCTCTTTGAATTGTCTTTTAATTTTCAGAGTTGCTGGCTGGAAGACCAATGTCATTTGATCTCTGACCCTTTGTTTCTAACCTGTTTTTTTAAATATAAGGTTTTAAGATTCCTTATCCCCATGTTCTGTAATTTGAAAATTATACACCTTGAGGTGGGTCTTCTTCACTCACTTTGCTGGCACTAGATGAGTCCTTTCTAAACTGGAAATTCCAATCATTTAGTTCTAGGAAATATCTTGAATTATTTCTTTGAGATTTCTTCCCATTTATCTTCCCATCCAGCTGGGAGCCTCCACTGGTTGGACATGGTCCTCTAAGACTAATTTCATTTTTTATTTTTGCTCTCAGTTTTTCTTTCTCTCTCTCCCCACTTTTTATGTTGGAATCAGCCTTATCCTGCAATCTCCATGCTAAAATGCTTCACTCCTAAGAGCTCTTTCCTTGTTTTCTGGATGTCTCCTGTTAGAGCTCATTTTAGGTCTCTGTGAGGATTATGGATTTAAAAGGTGTTTTCTTTCCTTCCCTGCTTTGCTTCCTCTGAGCTTCTGTGTTCCTGTTTGGTTACTGGAGGCTCTTCTCAAGCCTGGCGATGGCAGGATGACTTCACATGTAGGCTGGACTAATGGCCGGAGCGCTGTGTCCGAGGGCTCCACGACAGGATGACCAGGTGAGCCTGGGCTCAGTCTGCGCATCCTTCCTGAAGTGGATTCTGCCACTCCCTCCTGAGGGCTGCATCCCCAGCTGCCGTACCCAGGGAGTGCGTGGCCAAGGGTCTGGGAATCTCCCCACTTCACTTCGGAGAACTGCACCGCTTAAGATCGATCTCTCACTGAACACTCATTATCATCCTGGGAATTAAGAACTTGCACCATCCCTAGTATACTGATGAAACTATTAAGTCTCTCAAGCTTAAGTAATTTGTTCAAGGCCAAATAACTAATAAACCAAAGAACCAAGATTGGAAACCAGATCCAGACCAAATCATATGCTGCCTCTCTTCATGAAAAAAAAAAAATTAAAAAAGGTTCCTTGGAAAAATGGAATGTTTCAAACTTACATCACTAGATTTATGAAACACACTCAATTCAAAGATAAGGCTCTAATATAATCATTAAACCTACTTAAGGATCTTAGAAACTTGGGAGACTAAAATTCATGTTCTATTAGGAAAAGATCTTAAGAAATTAAAGACCAGATGCCCAAACAATTTCAATTTGGGTTTTATAAACATTATAACCACTACTGTCAATAAGGCATGCTGGGCTTTCTCAATTTCACTCATTATTTTTGCCCATCTGCTGTGCCAGAGATGGACAATGCACCACCAAAAACACAAGCATGTTCAAGAAACAAAGTTGAGACACTGCATTATCAGCCATTGGTATAACAGGGAAGTATGCAAAAGCTATGAGACACAAGTATACCTGTGAAGTGGACAGATTAAAGAGTAATTATCATTATTTGACAAATCAACTCCTAAAAAATCAAATGCTTATCACAAATATTTACCAAGCTTCTAAATGAATACGGAATAGATCTTATATAGTGAGGAAGACAAGATATAAATGACAGGCTGGTGCTGTGGCATAGAAAAGTTATGCCTCAGGGCCAGTGCTCTGGCACAGTAGGTTAATCTGCTGCCTGCAGCTCCAGCAATCCCATATAGGCACTGGCTCTAGTCCCAGCTGCTCCTCTTCTGATCCAGCTCTCTGCTATGGTCTAGGAAAGCAGAAGATGGCCCAAGCGCTTGGCTCCTTGCACCCACGTAGGAGACCTGGAAGAAGCTCCTGGCTCCTGACTTCGGATTAACACAGCTCTGGCCATTGTGGCCATTTAGGGAGTAAACCAGCAGATAGAGGACCTTTGTCTCTGTCTCTCCCTCTCACTGTCTGTAATTCTCCCTCTCAAATAAGTAAATAAATAATATTTAAAAAAAGAAAGAAGGCTGGTGCCACAGCTCACTTGGCTAATCACTCCGCCTGCAGCACCGGCACCCCGGGTTCTAGTCCTGGTTGGGGCACCGGATTCTGTCCCGTTTGCTCCTCTTCCAGTCCAGCTCTCTGCTGTGGCCCAGGAATGCACCTGCATGGGAGACCAGGAGGAAGCACCTGGCTCCTGGCTTCGGATCAGTGTAGCGCACCGGCTGTAGTGGCCATTTCGGGAGTGAACCAAAGGAAGGAAGACCTTTCTCTCTGTCTCTCTCTCTCACTGTCTATAACTCTGTCAAATAAATAAATAAAAAAAAAAAAGATTCAAGTGAGATAATTACAATATGGAAAAGCAGAGGTATTATGTGTAAGGATGTCAGGTAGAGGAAAGAAACATATGGCAAAGAAAGCTTCTCTCTGGAGGCAGTAACAGCTGCGTGAAGCCTTAAGGAATGAGTAGGCCTACGAAGAAGATGAAGGGGAAGGACACTCAGCCACAGGGGCAGCCGTACAAACCTAACTCCGAAGGTAAAAGGACACAAAAGCTGGAGGAACAAACACATTTCTACTATAAATAAAAAAGCAGTGGTTTGATAGTCAAAGTATTTTTGGGAATAAGTCCTAGGGGTAAACATGTGAATACATCCCTGAAGGCCTACAGATGCCAAAGGCCACATGTGCTCGTATGTCCTCATTACAACGAAAGGGAACTGTTACTTCTGTCTTTCCTTGAATTTTTGATATCCCATGGCTCGTAATTCAAACCCCCTCATGCTGTTCTCCTCTCAGGAGGACAGCACTGGCCTGGGAAGAAGCTTCTCACTCATTCCAGCAAGCTGGACTTTGCAAATCTTTGCCATTTTCCCAGTGAAACTCTCCGCCGTTAACAGGGACTATGTTCTTCAAAGTGTTGAAAGATTGGGAAACACAGAGCAACTTATAATGGAGCTGCTAATTTATGTTTTGCTTTTCTTCTTGTTTAACAAGACTGCAAACACTGGAAAGAGGTCATGACCCAGGCAAGTTCAGGCCTTGACTCGTAAAGCATCATCTTTAAGAAATACCAAAAAACATTACCAAATAATTAGATTATGCTGGGTCATTTTGTATATTAATTAGTGATAATGCTCATAAGGAAGCTTTACCATGAAAAAGCAGCTCTGGATGAGCTAATGCAACACATCACATTGGCTAACATTTGAAGGGAAAAGCTGCCAGCAGCATTAAATGGGGATAGAGTTTTAAAAATAAAATTAGAGTGAGGGTGGGTATTTTGTGCATAGGCGAGAAGCCACTGGGGATGCCTGCATTCCGTATCACAATACCCACTCTGCTTTCCATCCAGCTTCCTGCCAGTGCGCAGAAGGTGAGGATTCAAGTAGTTGGGTCCTTGCTACCTATGTGGAGACTCAGATGAAGCTCTGGGCTCCTTGCTTTGGCCTGGCCCAGTCCCAGCTGTTGCGGGCATTTGGGGAGTGAAACCAGAGTATGGAATATCTTTCTCTGTTGCTCTATCAAATAAATAAATACAAATGAAACAAAAACAGAGTTTAATCCATGAGATGAAATTGTCTTGTGACTGTGTGGCTACTGAAGTCCACAGAGTTCAAACACGCCTCTTGATACAAAGAAAACCAAGGGTGATAACCTATTTGGGAAAAAAAACTGCTCCCAGCATACTCTTTACTGAAATTTGCCAGTCCTGATGCTAGAAAGAAAGGGCCTAAATAAAATGACTATCTGCCGATCGGATTATGATAAACATTGTTCCAAGGTTAAATAAGTATTAGTTAACTAATTCTTAGCACCATAAGGAGCAACTCAGGTGAAAACATTACCATGAAAAAGGCAGGGCTCAGTCAGGTGTTGATCCTTCAAAAAAACACTTCTTTACATGATGAAGAATGAGCCAAGCACTAAGCAGCATCTAAGCCTTTTGCCACACAAAGGACTAACCAGATAATCCACACCCTTTCATAGGTTTTGCCCATTGATTGGCCCCAATAAACTGATTTGTAACAAAAGTTCATGTGGAAGAAAGCTTTTTCCCCCCCTAAATAAAAATGCCACCAATATAATGCTGCAGTGAAATGGAAGGGATGGAAAGGCTGATTTTAACCTATGAACAAAAGTGAAGTCAGTTATGCAGGAAAGAAAGGCCATTCTTTCCATACCATTCAATGGTGAGCGAGTGTAATACACCCTTGGTAAGAAGAATTAACTGTGAAC